ATTTATGTTAATTATATTGAGAATTGAATAATAATATCAATGATCTATGTATATATACTAGTATACTACTATATAAAATGAAGTCGCTTTCTTTTGTTGGGGATAAACTCCCAAACTACTTATTCAATCCTTGCGCATTTTTTTTTCAAAATTAATGAGGACATCACAGAGAAGGTTTTAGGCATAAACGTAGTCCGATAAAGTTAATAAATAATTAGTTATTGTTAATTAAAATAAACGCGTAAATTGTATACCTATACCTTTTTTTGGTAAGAAAAATAGTTGCTGTCTGAAAATAAATAATAATCAAACTCGACAACCACAGATGCTTCTAGGCAGGTCGGTATCGACGTGGAATAATAAACAATTATTATAATTATTTAGTTAAGCAAAAAAAAAAAAAAAATGAATTGATAAAAAATAATTCATTTCATCCGAGTATCTACGTATTATTAGTATTTATAAATTTATAACCAATGGTGTTACATTAGTTATTGGTAAAAAGTAACTAATAACTAATCGAATTTTCACAAATTTCTCGCTTATGAGATGGTCGAGTCGCATTTATAGCCGCTCATCGGCGTATCCACTATCAAAATAAAAAAAAAAAAAAAAAATATCAGGGCATTTACCGAGCGTGGGGTACGATGATAATAGTATAATATAATATTATTTAATATCCTACCTGATAACATACTGCTCGCGTTATAACAAGCGAGTCTCGTGTACAGATTTGGAATTTTCAACGGGCAACGAAGTGCACGGGATCAGCTAGTAATCTAATAATTGATGAATTATGTGAGTGAATCAAAATATCACTGTTGTTAATGTTGTGTAGTTTGTCTGCAATGTGTGTGTGTGTGTGTGTGTGTGTGTGTGTGTGTGTGTGAGAGAGAGAGAGAGTGTGTGTATGGTCTACACGACATCGTAAGTCACTACCTATTACGGCCATATTATGTCCGTATAATTATTTTTTTTATTTTTATTATTTTTTTTTATTTTTAATGCAATATTTACAATCTATACAACGAGTAGTACAATAAGTAAATTTGATAATAAGGTAGTGACTTGAATGACTTGAGGGGGGAAAACCGTCCATCAATAGTACCTCCTAGCAATGAATGGAGACCGTTTTTTTTTTTTTTGTTGTGCTAGGCAAGGGCGTCTCTTGGCCATCTTCTTCCGTATAATTATTAATTATTAATTAACCGTATCGGACCATATATATATATATATAATTATTAGAAATCGCGTAAATAGGCGACACGGAAAATTATTATTATTTTGAATTCAATAGTTTATTTTTCCGAATCAAAATCTATCAAGCCTTGGTTTTTGCGGCTCAAATAAAAAACAGAATTAACATGTGCCCATAATTTATTCATCTAGACGAACACAATTATCAATCCATGACAATTCGTCGGATGGTCAATTTAATTATTATCATCTAGGTAAGATAATGAAAGGCAGGTAATTAATTATTTAGATAGAGCTCAACACTGGCCAGTTAGGTACAATACATTCTGTATTCAAATATATTATTCCTGTACAAACAATGTCATGGCGATAAATCAAATACCTGACCATTCTTGTTTATTTTTTCAACATTGAACATTCACAAGTTCTATACTCGTTGCGGCGGAATACACGTGAGTTCGACTTTCGTAAGTGACTTTATTATTTTCTAGCTTTACTTTGACTCGGCAATAGTCACGACGATCGTCCGAAAATAAAATCCATTATTCGATCGCGCAACGCGGCAGCAGTAACCTTAGTCTGATCGAGTTTAGAAACGCACCTACCTAGTCGGCGGTTTCCCGTCATTTCCATCGGGCCGCAGTCAGTCCGAGTCAACTATTTTTTTTATATATTTCGCCTAGCCGCAGTGCGGTGTTGTCCACCTCTGCGCACGAGTCGACAACGTTTCTTAACTCGAGCAGAGCGAAGTCACTGAAACGTTACGCTTCTCCACATCGGTTTGGTTTTACGAACTAAATCAGAAGCCAATATACCATGCGTCGATACTGTGCGATGCTCGGAAATATAGACATTTTATTGTCAGTCGATTATTACAATCCATGGCTAATTATATTATTATCCCTGCGATTCGGTGAAAGAAATGTTCTTAATTTAAATAGCCAGACACTGCCGAGCATTGGCGTGTTGACCGTGATTTTGAAGGGCAGGTGCCCGATGATTTTGAGTGGGTGGGTGGGTGGGTGGTGAGTACTGGATTTAGTGAGAAATACTGTTGTACAAAACTAACTACATTAGAATATGATATAAGAATAAGAATACGAATAAGAATTAATAACATCATTAATAACTATACTAAGATACTCAGTAGTACAGTACCGCAATATTGTGAATAACAACACAAAACATGGCTATTCAAAGCGTTAACATTTAGTTGATATTTACGTGGTAACTAGATACTACAAGTTACAACTGTACTCTATATACTACTGAAGTAGGTTAAATAAATAAATAAATAAAATCGTTATCGTTCAACGGGTATTCGGGTATTCCCAATTCCCAGTGACCGATTTTTTATAGGGAGGGAGGGAGGGGCCACACACTGTTTAAAATTTAAAAATAGCAAAAAAAAAAAAATTATTAAATACTTCAACAAATAGCAAATACTGCCAATGAGGGGGGAGGGGGCATGGCCCCTGTGGCTCCCACTGGGTGGGTGGTAGGTCAATCAAAATATTAATTGCCCGATAAAATATTTCATTTCGCCACGCCACTGTAGTGAGTGCCGAGTGCCAAACTAGCTACCACTACTACGCACTGTCTAAGGCCCGGTTATGGATATTAAGGACGATTCAGTAAAATATGGGCTGCATCCGAATTGCATGCCAAAAAAAAAAAAAATGTCCGAATTGCATGCCGTCTCTTATAGGGCTTTGTCCAGATTGCATGCCGTACACCACGCGTTTATTTACTATGCACTTAAACAGCTTAAACTTTTTTTGGACTTTCCTAATTTTTTTAAAAAAATGCTATTATACTATTTTATTATTAAAAAAAAGATGTTTCTTTATTGACATATTTTATTATTATGAATTATTATTATATTTTATTTTGTTTATTTAAATTGTAATATCGTGTGCCCGAAATGTCAAAAAAAAAACCACCAAATTTAAAAATAATATTATTTAAAATACACTCACTTGCAGATTACCCTAAACTACAATAGTTTTATTTAACTACTGGCCTTTGTTGTCGATGAAAAAAAAATTGTTTTATTTTATGATTCTTATTAACGGTGTCACCTTCTACAATATTTATATGTTTTATTGTAATGTAACAAAATCCCGATCCTCCAGATGAAAAGTAAGTTATTTATTCGGACAGACCCCTCTAAGAGACGGCATGCAATTCGGACAGACCCCTCCAAGAGACGGCATGCAATTCGGACGACCCGATTTATATTTATTTTTTTGGCACGCAATTCGGATGCACCGAAAATATGACAGTCGTTTAGTTACAGCTGACTATAGCCGACACGGGCGCGACGAGGGGGAGGGCTCGTCGTATAATTCCTATACTCCCACCAACGGTGGCTATATCGATGCATTTTAATTTAAATGCGCCTCGGAACTTTTAAATCTTTTACAAACTAATTGCGAACAGGCTTAGATGGTCATCGGTAGCACCCGATTTCGCTGTTATTGGTATAGATCCATCACCACTACGATTCCACGGCGCCCGTGGTTCGTTAAGCGGCCTCCTGCAGACAGGTCCCACATGGTCCGATTTGCCAGGCTCAGACTTGGACACAATTCGCTTCCCGCACATGCCTTTCGCCTCGACTTAAACGACTCCCCTTTGTGCACTCGTCGCGCAGAAGAAACAATTTGCGACTATTCTCTCACATTCTCACCAATTGCCCATCACTCTCTAGTTCCCGATCGAGATTAACTTCACTTTTTACGTACTAACAATATCGTGCCATTAGAACCAACAATTATTATTCTTTATTCCTTTTCAATAGCCATTATTATTATTATTATTATTTTGAAATTTTTCGAAAATGCTGGATTCTTAATTTTTTTTTTTTTTTAGAAATCAAAATAAACGGTCACAAATTTAAACAAGTTTAACAAATAGGTACAGTTTTGATTACCTACCTCCTGTAAGCTAAAAGCTTGTGTTGGAGGTAGGGAGTTACTACATTTACCGACAAAATAAAACAATTAATAAATTAATTAGGTAATTTCTTATAATATTACGTACATTGATTCATGATACGATCACTTTCAAAAAATATAATAAAGTAAAGAAAAGACAAAGTGACACAAAGTTTAAAAATAGATTGATAATACATTTAGTTGATACAGCATTTTAACAATCAAAATAATATACTGTTATGTATATAAATAACATATAATTTAGCAATAATTTCAATAGAGAATAAAACTAATACACATTATTATTCAATTCTAAAAACATATATTTATATAATAATCTTTTTATATTAATTTTTTTACATGTAATTATATTTCTTTTAAAGTCCAGAGCCATAGAATTGTAGTAAGTTTAACCAAAAGATTTATTGGTATATTTAACTGGCAAATCATATTTTCTGATTTCTCTTAAGTGACTATTGTCATTATATAACTGCTCAATATCAAGTTGTGACTTAATGTAGGCAACGCGTTTGGGCTGTGGGGAAGGAGAGCCACTTAATTTACTTACTAAAAAAATGTTAGAATTGAAGCCACCTAACTTTAACGTCCAGTTAAGCCTATTCTAGTTTATTATAAAAAGTGCACCCTCGCTATTTCGAAATTGTGATTCTGTAATCTGTACATAAATTGATAAATACACTTGTTGTAATAAGTATAATATCAACAAGTTAAAAATGATGATTTAATTAATTTTAATACTTCCTAATAAACGATTGATATTATTGTTGTTATTTTGTAGGTGACAGTAGTTAAAGTAATCAGTACCTGTATCAGAAACATCGAAACTTTCAGACAACAACAACAATGTCTGATCTAGAAAATTCAATGACATTAGTGAGCTTTTAGAATTATTTTTAAAATTCGTTTCATTGTTATCATTTTTATTTGTTATTAAATATTAAGTAGGCTGATTTAGGGGCTAAGCACTTCCGAAAATTACTATAGCTCCTTCCCCAAAATTTCCTAAAATTTTTAAGCATGTTTTTTTTTACCATGTTACTATAGTACCTTGGATTTTAAAAATCTTTTTTAAAAAATCCTTTCCAAATATAAAACACTTATTACCTATTCCACACTCCGAGAGAAAAAAAACACTTGACAATATTATTATTAGTAGTAGGAGTCTGTAACAATATAACGCTATTCGGCTGCACTTTTTAACAAAACAAATATATCGTATAAGTACTATAAACCATTTTTAATAATTATCAATTAAACAATTTCAGGAAAGAGAGAGTGACTTCGTTGAACGCAGAGACTCCGAAGACAGCTGTCTAGCGAAACAATCGCGCCAGAGAGAAGTATTTGGGACGGAGTGTTCGAACGAGTATTTTTCTAATAACTATGACGGAGATGGTGACAAACCATGCTCGATTTCCGACTTATTAGGTTCCAAGTATGGCATGAACCAACTATTTGAGAAACACGATGGAACAAGTTCTGATAATTCAGTTCAATCGTTCAATTCTAATACCGAATCGTCCGAAGATTTGTCAATTATTAAAAATATTGATATTGATTATACAAGTGGAAGAAGTTCCATCAGCTCCGTTGAACGAGTAATTTTATTACTTTATGATTAGCCAACTACATTTTTTTCAACCTGTGGTCAAAAATATTATTGTACCTATCTTCCTCTTTTATAAATAAATGTGTTAGCTTTTGGCTGTATTCCAACTAAGTCCCAATAAAACCTTTTTGATCGAATTTGAGCCCCTGTTTGTTTTAGGTACCTATAATCTATATACTGATTAAATCCAGTGGCATTTAAGATATAATAGGTACATTGAGTATATCATGTACACGAGTGTCTAAATACTAAAGAGTTAAGACTAAAATTAGTCCAGTCAAACCTAAAAAGAAAACGTTCCTTTTTACTTTTACAGATTTATTAGTGTTCGTAATAAACAGTTCTATTTTTGTGGTTAAAACGTTTTTTACTATTGTTAATAAAAATGATTAATATAAGTACTTAGCTTATGTATGATTCGGTTGATTTCAATAATACATAAACATAATAATTAAATGGATGCAATAATTTTTTATTTATTAAAATCTTGTTATTTATTTCGGATGCAAAATGCGATTTTTCCCTAATTTATTTTTCTAATGATTATAAAGTTTCATATAATATTAATTTACTGTTTCAGTACGTACTTCTTTTTTTTCATGTTATGCAGTTTTTAATTTTATCTGATTAAAGAGACATACAATTGACAGCCATTAGATAGGTAATATATTTTTTGTTTCCTGATCGCGGTCTCGAATGGTATAATTTATTGTTTATCAATATTATTAGTCTAATTTTTTCCCTTTCAGTTGTAAGAATCAATTAGCAGGATCACAGTTTTAAATTTAGGCACTCGTACTTCCAAATTACCACACGTCCCATTTTGGCCGGAACCTTGCCGGTTTCGAATACAGCGTCCCGTTGTCCCGATAAAGGGTTTTGGGATAGATTGACAGTCATTTTTTTCCTCCGTTTTTTTGCAATATTATTATCTACTGAACGTGTTCGCTGTTTTCCTGCTCATACTCGACAATTTTTTTTTAGTAAATTATCGATTATTGATAGTTTTGTGGGTCACTCATTTGATGTGTAATATTAAATTCGTTTTTGCCTTACAGACGGTATGTTGTATAGTGCTGACCATTGTGGTATTTACCTATAGTTACGAAAAAATAGTATACCTATTGCAGCTGGTTTATTAGGGAGGAGTGGTACGATATTTCCTTAAAAAAAAATTGTTTGTCCCGGTTGAAGTAAAATAAAATATGGAAACTCTATTATTATGTATTGCCTTTTATTCAGTAATTAGATCGTCCAAAAACAATTTTTTTATTAATTTAAATTATAATTTATAAACATTTACTCATTCTGTTTATATTTATATAACTATTATGTAGATATTTTAATAAATTTAATACTCTAAATGATTATTACCTAACATTATTTATAATATTCTTATTAACACGCCGTCGGCATTGCAGCGTGTCTTACGTACTTCCATTGGTCTCGAGTTGTTTTTTCATTATTAGTTATTACATAAAAAATCATAGAAACCAGCATCAAATCACTCATATTTTATATATGTGTGTTGCAAACCATTTTCCTATGATAAAAATATTTAAAACAATAAAAACTAAAAATTTCATTATTATAATACTTTGTTCATAAAAAGCACTTGAAATATTATTATGATTTTTAATTTTTCTATTTTTTAGTATTACATTATTTTTATAACATCGATCTTAATAGTATACATAATATTACAGTACAATATGATAATATAATATTATTCACCTTGGCCCTAAACTAATGGGCGAGCGTAACACTATCACTTCGTGGAAAATAATTACTAGGGCTAAGGGATTCATGGTATTAAAATGGTCGAAATATGTGTTTGCATTGTAGCAGTAAGAAATTGGACAAAAAATATGAAATATATCGTAGACTTTTGGTTTTGGTCTAGCAGCGTCTAGACATTATACGATATAATCACATAGGATAGGTAACTCATATCTATATGTATGTACATAAAATCATTATTATTACCAGCCCTAAACAGTAAACACTATTCTAGAATAAAATGTTTCTAAAATATTATGATGATGTCTACGACTATCACAGATGGTCAATCCATCTTTCGTTATTTTCGATTCAATTACATTTCTTATATATATATATAAGAAGTATAATTGATCATAATATTATATTGGTTCTATTAATTTGTCATCGGTATATATATATTATGATCAATTATACTTCAATAATGGTTTACTCTTTTTCATTTTCATTGCTATTATTTATTCATTTTTTTTATTGATAATATCAGGGTTCAACCTCTGAGACCATTAACCATGTGTAAGACCATTAACCATGTGTATATTATTATGTAGGTACATATGAAAAATACGATATCTGTCATTTCAAAATGAGATGTACAGGTAGGTACAGGTAAAAGGTACATTCCAAAGTTATTTACAATATTCGGGTAGAACACGATTGAGATGGACGTTCTCTATTTAGTATTGCTAACTTTTATGCAACGTTGCCACATTAATTAAAAATAAAAATAATAAAAATACAATACATATACAATATATATATATAAGATATCAATCACTATATTTTGGTTACAAAATAAACTTACATAGAATTTTGTTTTAAATTTTCAATCCTTAGCTATTAAAGTTAAACATTTAATAAATTTTTAACAAAAAAATCATATTTAAATTTTAAATTTGATAAAAAACGGCAATAGTTTGAGCCTAAAAGCCTAGCTATGATAATTTATTATTAACCGTCGACAGTATGCCAAATGTCTCTTGTTAATCGCATGAATTGTCGTACATATTATAAAAAAATTGTGAAAAATGCCCAAAAAATGCATTTTTTTAAAAATAATACAAAAAAAAAAAATCAGTTTACACATTTTATACTTACAAAACAACGTTTCAAATCACCAAATAAAGATGCCATTGCATCAAAATCTCAGCCCTAAAAATTATTACTAAAAGTTAAGATAAATGGCAACTTCGCTAGAAATATCGTTCTCAATCGTGTTGCTTAAAAGGTAAAACGTTCTCAATCGTACAACACCACAATGTTCATTAACGTAAGAAAATCTAGGATCTTTGTGCTATTGTATTATTATTTACTTTGTTTTGACATTATCTCCATTTTGCAATACATGTTTCTATATAATTATTAATCAAACCGCGGTATCACACGCTACGAGAAAAAATATTTGACGATTATTATTATTATTAGTAATAGTGTGTAATAGTACGACACTATTCGGCTGTGGAGCTTGGTAAAATATATAAATATATATTATAAACCATTTTTAATTATAAATCAAACGATTCCAGGAAAAACAGAGTAAATTAATTGAACGCAGAGACTCCGAAGACAGCTGTCTAGAGAAACAATCGCTTCAGAGAGAAATAGTTGGGACGGAGAGTTCGAACGAGTATTTTACTAATGACATTAACTTTGATCAATATAGTGACAAATCGTGTTCGAACTCCGACCTATTAGTTTCTAAGTATGGCATTAACCAACTGCTGGCGAAACATGGTGTATCAAATTCCAATTGTTCATTTCAATCGTACATTTCTGATACTGATTATACAAGTAGAAGAAGTTCCATAAACTCCGTCGAACAAGTAATTTTATTACTTTATGATTAATCAACTACATTTTTTTCGACTTGCAGTCAAACATATTTTTTCATTTTCCTTCTTTATAAATGAATGTGTTAGTTTTTGGCTGTATTCCAATTGAGTTCTAATAAAATCTTTTTCATCGAATTGAGTCTAGGGTTGTTTTAGGTATCTACCTATATATATATACCTATTGAGTCTCTTGACACTTAAGCTATAATAGGTTCTAATTGTTTCAATATTAATGTAAGGTCTGTCAAACTCAAAAAAAAATTGCCATTCCTATTTTTACAGACATACGATTGTTTCTAACCAATTGGTGTGGTCGAAAATATTTTTTTCTAATTTTAATTTAAAAAAACTGTATAATATAGGTATACAATTTATGGATAAGTCGATCGATTAAAATAATAAATAAAATAATAGCTAAATGAATATCGTATATCGATAATAAAAAGACGAATGCAATAATGTTATATTTATTAAAATTTGTTATTTGTTTTCTGCATTTTTCTGTATTTTTCTCTAATTTCTATTTCTAATGGTTAAAAAGTTTTTTTTTTTATAACGGTTTGAAGAGGTACTTCTTAGTTTTTTACACATACAGTTTATAATTGTATACAGCGAAAGACATAAAAATAATAAGACACGTTGTCATGATAATAACTCAACTAGGTAGCTATTAGATATCTAACATATTTGTCGTTTCCAAATCTTGGACTAAATTAGTATATTTATTGTTTATAAATAGGGCTGTGAATTTAATGCACTAAAAAGCCTTAAAATATGCATTGAAAATATGAAAAAAAATGCAATATAAAATGCCAAAAATTATAGTATAAAATTCATTTAAAATGGTTTTTAATTTAATTTTTATATTTATATTAATATTAGGTACATGATATTATACATTAGTATATAAAATAATAAAACTGTTAATTGAATTTGAATTTTCTATACTTAATGCTATTCACCTGAAACATTATTTAGAAATTAAAAAAATAAAAAACTTACACATATCTTGTGTAGTTATCTAGAAATCGCCTTATTTTATCGACTTATAAACAGCCTGTGTACAAAAACTAAAAAACGAAAATATGACCTAAAAATGCACAAAAATGAACTAAACAATTAAAAATGTCGACAAATTCAAAAAAATGCAAAATAAAAGTTGCATAAATGGATTCGTAGTTACATAATTCAAATTATGTACTTACAAAGTTACAAGTCACAATCACAAAAAAAAATGCACTTTCCTACAAATTCATAGCCCTATTTATCGATGACTACATTATTTTTTCTCGTGCAGTTATTGGACTATTATTAGTATGAAGCATAGTTTTCAATTTAGGTACTACCTTGGATCAAAGATTGCAAATATTATTTTTGGGGCATATCACATGAACACGAAACTGAAGCGGCTAAGCTTAAAATGTGTTGCTGTTTTGTACACTTAGTTATGGTTGAAACTATTTTTTTCTGCCAATAATATTTATTTGTTTGTTATATATAAACACAATATTTTCATACGATTTTCCAATACAGATATAATCAACTTATTTGAAAAATAAAAATTCGAGTATTTTTGTTTTTCTCAGATTATTAATTATATTTTTATAGTTCAATTACATACCTACCATTTTAAAATTTGAATTTATTGTGAAGCTCAACTTGCAAACCCCATCGTCAACTCGATGCCATATTTATCATATCATAGTAGGATTCTTTAAATCTATATCTAAAAATCTTGTGTTCATTTAAAGTCCAAGTCAGTGATATTTTGTCATAACTTGTGATGGTAACTACATAGACATTGACAGATCAAACACTGTCCTCTTATAATAACGATAATGATAATAAATAACAAATAATAATAATAACTATTATAGTTATAAATTATAATTATGATAATGATAGTTAATACTAAACTTACTGTTAATAATAGTAAATTATTATTATTATGATTATTTTATGCTAAACTGTTAGCATAAAGAACGGTTCTGATGTATTATCTGCTAAAGTAAAAGTGTCTTGGCGGTCTCGCGCAAACGGTTTTCACTTCTTTGCCTCATTTATAAAAATAGTTTGTGTTCTCTCGTTGGCTATATAGATGGAAATGATGAGACCTGAAGATGACAGTGTTAAGGCAATAGAATCAATTGATGATAATTGTGAAATAAGATGGCCCGTCAAACGTAGTAAGTCGATCATTTTTAATTTAAGCTATTGTCATGCTTATTAATTGATTATTTTAAATTATTCTAAACGTATTTTTGTATTAGAGATTGATAAGAAATTATATAAAAGGCGCTTGAATGCTCGAATACATCGTTTAATATCGCCTAAAAGTGCATTGGCGGTATTTTCTGAGTTGTTCCGAGACGTACCAATCCAAATAGAAGACCGGCCATTTTTGAATGGTAGGATTTATACTGCTACAATTGAGGTAAGGTAAAACCAGCACCCCTGGCCCCCCTCCTCCCCGTAAATACTCCACTGTTGGGCTATAATTAAATGAGAAAACTTGATTTTATTTTTGGTGTAATAATATATGCTCACCGTAGATTGACGGCCAGACGTATGTAGCAAATAATATTTCCAAGAGTGAAGCGAAACAAAAGGCATGTGAAAATTTATTTCGTAATATGTTGGCTAAAAAATTAAACATGCAATCTGGTAGGTTAAAAGTGTTTGAGTGGTTAACTTTTAGTATTGCTCATATTGTGTAAGTATCTATAAATACTATTAAATATATTTAATTAGAAGAAAACAAAGAATCTTCCGTAGACATAGAGATGGAAAATGGGGAAAATGGTACAGCACAAAAACCTATGGGACCGCCACAGGAGGAATTTCCATGGCCACATTTTGCTTCATTAGCAATGTATCAATTAATAAATCATTGGAAAATACAGCCTGCTCCAAAAGGCATCAATTTACAAGACGAACGATCGAAGGTATCCAAATAAATGTAAAATTATAAATTATATTATTATATTATAAATTTACTATATTTACAATTTATGCCAAATGAACAGTACCTATAGTTAAAACACATTGATCAATTTGAATTTCCTGAAATATAAAGGGTATGATGAATGTTAAGACTAGGACTTTGGTTCAGTCAACTTGTTGAAATATTAATTGATCTATTATTATTATTTATTGGAATATAATATTTTGTTGTACCTTTAGTTTTATAATTGCAGGATTTTTTTTATTTACTTAGTATACTGTTCAGTGTCCTTAATGTCATCTTTATTAAAGCGTAATTGAAAATTTAAACTTTTTCATTTTGCATTTTTTGAAATTAAAAATAATTTTGTTAATTTTTGGTGCACATGTATATATGCATTGCATATATTTTAATATTAAACTTAATTGGTGATTCAAAATATTAGAAACTCTGTTCCGACCTTTATCACATGTTTATTATTTCGATACGTCGATAACGTATTTATCTATCTACATTTCGATTAACGACTGTTATGCGTCCAGGACTCATACCTACTAATTGGTCAGTCGGTGTTACATGTAAATCGAGTTCAATTTGACGGGAGATGGTAAACTGCGTCAAAATTAACCTTTTTCTAAAAGTCCATATGTAAACTGCGGCAAAAAAGAAAATTTAACATTATACAATCTGCGACAAAACCGGTAAGACACATTATACAAACTGCGGCAATTTATTTTATATACCTACCAAAGTTATTATATACTACTCATATATACATACCTATGTGCACCTATATATCTTGTACAATGTACCTACGTATTATCAAATGTTTATGGAGTCCATATTATATTACACTTAATTATTGAAGTCTCTAGAGACTGTTAGAGTATTAGGAGTAAAAATTAAGAGAAAAGAAATTTGAAAATTGAAAAATATTATTATTAATAAAAATTATTTTAAGAAATCGTTTTGATCGTATGGTAAAAAAAATTCAAATAATACAATAATTACCTATTTACTCTACTTTATTAAACATTTTGTCGCTTATTCTTAAAACATACTTTCTTCAAAAATTCGTATCCTGAAATTCGTCCATCTTCTTTCATTTGTCGCTGTTCGTTAATAAATTTGTGATGGATGATGATGATAAAAATATGCATTAAATTTTGAATGGAAAGATTCACATACATTATTTGTTATAACTTCTGATTTCGATGCCCACAAAGAAGGAGGGAATATTTCTTGCATATAATTTTCTGTTAAATAATTGCAAAATTTTACTATTTGATTATTAGATGGCATATCTGCAATCAAATCAAAAACAAACGAATCTTCGACTTCTTCAGGTTCAAGGAACGGAAGACCGAAAATATAATTAAAAAATTTTTCTTCATCTGTGTCTCCTTCAATATAAAGTTTGGATAAACCCAAATTTTGAAATTTTCTAAACCAAGCTGTAGTATATAATAACTTTGGTAGGTATATAAAATAAATTGCCAGTTTGTATAATGTGTCTTATCGGTTTTGTCACAGATTGTATAATATTAAATTTTTTTTTGCCGCAGTTTACATATCGACTTTTAGAAAAAGTTAATTTGGCCGCAGTTTACATACTGCCCAATTTGACAAGGGTCGTTTTACGACATTATTGCGGTTAAAATGCATTTTTTGATATTTTTAGAATGTCTTGGGATAGTTGTTGAGGCACTTAATCCGGGTTCTAATTATTACACAGCTACAGATTAAAAGGTAAGGTTAGTTTTGTTGTCAGGGCATTACATATTTACACTTTGGATAGTAATTTTAAGGTTTAGATTAATTTTCATTTTGGGTGAGCATATACTACACATAGAAGATACACTAGAGATTCGATTTTTTTACTTGTACTTATTTACACATACAATGGATTGGATGTGTGGATTAAGTTAATAAGTCCAAAATATTATTTTGTTATTTATTCGAGTTGAGTAATGACGGGTTTTTCTAATTGAAAAATTTAAAAAAAATGTGTATCTACAATATATTTTTAAATTTTCAAAAAATATTTTTTAAAAAGGCTAGTATAACGGAGGCGAAAAAAGTTTGAACACCAAACCTATAGGCTCACATTGGCCTTATATCGGGCCTGAATATTTATATTTATTACACAATATTCGTGAGTATAAAAATGGTATTTTAGCAGTTTTTTAGAGTTAATGTTATCTCATTATTTTTTAATGATCGAATGAGTACCTATGGGTATGCAAGTGTATACACTACTTTACCTTGAATACTTTTACCAAGGAATAGGCGTATTTAATGACAGTTGTGCAAATGGGATGATATGCTGTATACTTTCTAAAACACCTCTGTGTAATATCCTGATATTACAATATCGATCAATGGTTGACCGATCGAGTATATTGTAGTATACGACACACACTCAATGGTCGCACTTATTAGTTATTGGTGTATTAAAATAAACAGAGCTGTTACAATTTATTGTTTTCCATTTAATGTTGATATATTACTCAGTTCGACAATAACGAAACAGTATAACTGGGTATGAATTTACAGGGCGCTGTGAACGGCATTTTATATTTACAGTAGCTTAATAGTTATGTTATAGGGCTCGGAAGTTGTTGCATTTGCATGTTTTTTTTGGACCGTTAGATTTATTGCTAAGTGAGCTAGAAATTCATTCTAAGACACTACGAAAAACATGTCAAAAGTTTATGGTGTATATTTTTGCATATTTAATAATTTTTAGAGTTTAGAGCATATTTATTTTACATTTTTTTAGAGTAGGTATATTAATTTATAAATTATAATATATGAAGATTCGTAAATAAAAAAATAAATAGATTCATATTGAAAGAATTTATTTGATATTCTTGTATCGTATTTTTTAAATTTCCATTTGGCATTAAAAACCATGTTTTTCCTCTATAATGTATAAATATTTATAAATCATAACTACAGCTTGCTTTATTTAAAATAGAATATTATATAAATAGAAAATAAATAGAAAATAGAAACAGCTGCAATAGAAATACGATGATTTTCTATAAATACTTTTCTAGAGAAATAATTCAATGATTATTGTTGATAGGCTGATGGCATTAATAGACCTACTGCCGAGATATTATATTGTCAGTTCCGACTTATACGTATTTATTTTATTCAAGGTACATTTTGGAGGCATTCTTATATAATTTTTTTGTTGTTTAAATTATGATTAAAAATAAAAAATAAATATTACTTTGCCTTTTCCATATTTATAATTTTATAAAATATTTCTGCAAATGAAAATTTTGTGTAAAAAAATAAAATATAAGTGCATATTTGTACTTTTTTAAGCGCATAAGAGCATGCATATTTAGTACTTTTTAAGTGCATTAAGTTCCGAGCCCTGTAAAAAATAAATCATATATTACCTGTACATTTTATTAAGAGGATTAGGAAGGGGTAAGTACTGAAATATATGCTGTGCACTGTTGGTTATAAACGTTTCACCACGCCACTGGGAATTCACTATAGGTGCCACTATAGGTTAAGGTTAAATATTTATTAATATTTATTTTAATATTCAGTAGGCAATCCATCTCATTCTCTTTATAATTTATATCATCCAACGAAACAGTAATTTAAATACAAATTTAAGGTCATAATATTATGTTATTTATATTTTGTGTCGATACTCACAAGTAAACAACACACTATATTTTAATTTTATAACTCAAGCTCTATTTTTTTTAGGTTGCTGCTCCTATGAAATTATTTCCTGAAGACCCATCAAAATACAATCCGGTACAGTTATTAAATCACATGAAGCCGGGTACAGAATTTATAGTTACTCGTTGTTTAGATTTTCCATCATGTTTTCAAGTGTCCTGTGTTATAGATGGAGTTCCATTCACTGGACAACGTAATATTTTTGTAACATTATATTATTACCGTGATACGTGTTGAATTTATTTTTGAAATACGTTTTTAATTGTAAATAGATTTCAATATTCCATTTATTGTAAACTCAGACATGATAAGTATGTTATATTTTATATACCTAACCATTTACTATATAAAACAAAAATAAATAGAATATCAATCGATGGCTTTAACAGGGGCATAATTTCGGTTTTATTTTTTATTTTTGGTGCCAAAATGTTCACAATCCATTTTAAATCGTCACCAGGCCATAATCATAGTTCCCCTTTCTGGTGGGGGAACGGGGGAAAACATTTCCTCTAGATGTCATCAGATTCTTCGCCTTCTCTGCCAACTGTATTCCACATTGGGTCGGTGGTACCGGCCACTATTGTCATTCGTCATACAGCTCTCCACAGTTCTGAACTTAAAATAATAATTTTAAATAATTTTTTGACATTATAGCATTATTGTGCTTATCAGTCTATGCACTAAACTCATTCTTATAGTGTAGGTAATATGTTCTTCTTGGTTGTCGATCGATTATAATTGTCAGACCACATCTACAATTGTTTGAAATAAAAATACAGACTCAATATCTGACTTAATACACTTAACGAATATTTTATTTTTGGCATGCTAAAGAAGGCGTTTTAAAAAAAGTTGCAGCCCTCCCAAATGACGCTCCTAATGACTTAATTTTAACAAAATACAAACATAATAATAACATATTATACAATACTCGTAAATATTGGCCGTACACACGGGGAAAAAAATGTTTCTACAGTAATTAGTTTATTAATTTATATTTATATATTTTATAGATTCATCAAAAAAAGGAGCAAAGAATGAGGCATGTATTGCAGCAATAAAATACTTTTGGACATTTAATTTCCATAACATTTAATTTTGATGTGCTTACTCACTAACAATAATAAACACATTTTATGTTCTAGACATTTTGATAAGTCAACTGTTTTTATTTTGTTTTCTTATCGACTAAGAATAGGTACTTATGGTATTATTGTGGTTATTATTGTAAGGACTTGGGTTGGGTTAGAAAGTGTTATTTTTTTGTTATAGGTACTTGGGGGTATGTGCATTCACTATAAAAATATCGAGTTAATTAACCTATATAATTTATTTGTCTATAATATATATTTTAGATTTTTTGGTTAAAGTATGAACTACTTATGAGAAACCTTGATTTAAATTGTTTATTCTTAGTTAAAAAAAATGTACATTTTATACATTTTTAACTACAAAATAATTTGAAAATTTAAGCGGACCGTATTTCATTTACAAACAAATCGCTTACGAGTCAACCACGTTATGTTGACTCATACCTTTTAATTTTATATTTTGCACTACGGTTTTATACCACTATAGATTACGTTGTGCTGTAGAACATTAAACTGTGAAACTTGGACACTTATTTGTGTAGGTATATAAAGTATTATCTTTCGTGTTAATCGTCGAAATGCATTTTAAATTGACATATTTTTAGGCTTTTAGCATATATAATATATATATTACAATAAATTTATTATGAAATTAATGTTAAAAAAAAAAAAAAAATATCACATCGAGCCTTATAACATATTATAATATTACATACGTATGCCTACAGATTGTTACAGAAAAACACCTGTCAAATGAATAAACTCTTGTCTTTTGAGTAATATTATATTATTATGTTAAGTCCGGCTGGGCGAATATTTTAACACTGCCGCCGTGATCTAATCGAGTGCGCCGATATTGTTTTATAGTAATATTCCGTTTGACTTTACCCGAAGAGTAAAAATTATAATTTTTTTAGTTTTGCGAGTCTTAAGGACTAGTTATAATATTACGTTCGTTTGAGTGTGCGCTAATTAATTTATATTTTGATTTTATTAAATTCTGGGTGCTGATCGCCGAGCATATTATTATTCCGTGATTTCTTATTTTCATACACCGTACGGTAATTACCTCAAGGTTCCGGACTTGTTTTTAATAATTTTTCTTGGTTCATTTTGTTCACTGTTCTTGATTCTAATTATAACAACTTGCAACAAAATATATGTTTATTTTTTCTTAAACGTAACAAATCACGCTGATTACTGTTATGATGATTAAAATATACATTATTATAATATAACCGTTTGACGTGTCCATTGACTCCTCCGGTCTTATAGGTTTTAATTACCTATCAACAAAATCTAAAAAACGGGTGAAATAAAATATCGTCGGTATGAGGATAACGACTCTGAGCGAAGACAGTGAGCCTATATTACTAAGAAATGTTTATTTTCTGATATTATTTACATAATATGTTCTCGTAGACTATAGTAGTCTATTTGGCTGTTATAGGAATACGGTATTTTCAATAAATTTTTTATGAAAACATTGCTTTTATTATATTTACTCATCATATATTTATACCGCAATATTCCATTATTGTTTTACCAAGGTGTATTCATCACTTCGGTTGTTACTTTTGAGTCAATATACCGATTTACCATTGAACGCTGTGCACACGTTTGTAGTGTAAATTGAGCATAATGTATGAAAATGTATTCAATTGTTTTTGAGAATTTCATTGTGTACGCAAAATATAATAATATATGAAAAGTTCTTTGCATCCATAATTATAATTTTTAAATTACAACAAAACAACTAAAATCGCATGTTCTTTAATTAAATTTCTAATTTCGTCCAAATTTGAACTTAAAATGTCTGTAAAAAAAATGTCGGGTGTGGACTTCAGTATTAACTAGCTGGTTATAACGAGCCTCCTCGCGAATTAAATTCAATCTTTTGCTATAAAAATTTAATATTCTATACATTTTTAACTACAAAATAATTTGCAAGGTTAAATTTTGTCAACATTTGAACTTCAAACACTTGTAAGAAAAATCACTGACTACAAAAATCAATCAAAATAGGTACCTATATAGTATCCAATTTATATAAATTATAAAATAAGCGAAATCGTTCTAAAAGATATTTGAAACTCACCACTTAGGAAGGTAAAAAAAATAAAAAATAAAAAAACCTAGAACTCAATAATAATATAAAGTATATACATTTAATATGAAATAATAATACCTAGGTACGTCGCCTCAAACGAAGAAATGAGATATTTTTTGTTGACACGTGATAGACAAGTAGGTATACATACCAAAGCCATCTTATCCTCGGAAAACTGATGACGTTTTTCCACTAGAGATACTAGGAAAACCTCTAACACACACCAATTATATAATAAATTAATAAAAGTTCGTCGTATTAACATTTTATATTACGCTGACAGGCGACTGCGACGCGAAACCACTGGCATCGACAATATAGGTTTCTAAGTTTCTCGACTAAAACTAACCATTTCAGCACAACAAGCCCAGAAATACCTCAATAATAATATACAGTGTGAGACACACCGCACATCATTAAAATTAAGCGTTTTTTTAAAAAAAACCAGGGTTCCGCGAAATTCGTGTTTTTTTTTTCAAAATTTTTAATTTTAAATGTTGACACATCGTTATAACTTTTATTGCGAATAATCCTTACCCGAAATGACGCATTTTAAGTATTGATACAAAGTATAGTGGTTCTAATTGTCAAGCTGTAATAACTTACTGTTAAAAGCGCAATACGAAAAGCTAAAAAAAAAATCCGGAGTTCCACGGTGGAAGTGTCCATAAAAAAGGGTTCCGTGGATAAAAATGTTTTAGAAACGCCGCTCTAATGGATAAATCTAAAGCCGGATTCAAAGCTACGTCGTGCGTAGTGCTTGGTCGATCAAACGTAGGATCGTGATTGGACATCACGTTTTTGATATCACTCAATAACCTGGTTGCGACCGAGTGTACCAAGCGCTGAGTGCGGCTCAACTTTTAAACCAATACGGTTACCAGTCGTGACCGTACAGTTACCACACCCTCGCACGACACGACACACGACGTATGTACCCGTGAATCCGGCTCAGCAGAGCTTCGGTCTTCCTAGACGGGTTACCGCGGTCGACAGTCTTCGCCGGACAGCTCGTCGCCAACCACCATATGCGTACAGGCGGCGGGCGTCTTTTTTTTTCTATCACGAAGCTTGTATTTTACGCGTCAGACTCATGTGACTAACCCCTAACCTAACCCTCGAACGACAACGCAGCGAAAAAAACCACGCCGACGCAAATGTCCAACGGATCGTATTTATTTCGTTTGCGGTATTATCACAGTTTGGGCTTGTCGTCCTTGGCGGGCGGCTTGCTGACCACGGCCAAGTAACAGAACGCTCCGCACTTGGGCACAGGCTGTGCGGCCAAAAAGGCGCCGCCGTCCGGCGATTGCCTGTACAACATGGGCTTGTCGGTGTCCTCGCTGGGCAGATCGCACTCCCAGGCGCCGGCTCCTTTTTTCGCGTCCTTGCCACTGGAACTGGGCGAGCTGCCCGTCAGCAGGTACGTCAGGCTGCTGAGTGGCGACGACGGCGGATACTGGTTGAACGGCGCCCGGATCTCGCCCTCCTGGACGGCCGTCACCAAGTGGAACATGAAGTCGTTCCGGAGCTTCATCTCGGCGACCGTCTTGTTGCTCGCCAACAGTTTGTGCACCCAGCGGTTCACGTTGTGTTTTTCTGCGACGCGAAAAACGGTCATTATTGTGAATGGGAGGTAAAAACGGTGACGTGAATGTAAAAAAAAAAAAACGCAGTGAAGCCACCGTACAGTGTTCAGCACTCGACGTATTTGCTAGGTAATCATAGTTAATGATAATTATACAGTATTTTAATTACCCTGTGCCGTTTTCAAATTCTGCATAGAAGTCTTCAGCAGAAACAAATTGTAGTTCATGTCGTAGTTGAGTTCGGCCGAGTCTCCTACTTTCTTTGCTGCCATTTTTACAATATTATTCTGACGAGTTTTGAAACAAGTGTTAACTTTTTAAAAATTAGCTTTGAGCGAATGGATTTAAAAAACGTCTTTTCTTTTAGACTGCTGTCCAACTAAAATGATTGTTATGCACGGTTACCTAGAAATTACAATTAGTTGTACTGTTTACTGTTATTAATAATATAAGTTTGTTTACTTAACAACACTATAGCCAATAAAAAAATAATTTAGTTAATCCATATAAATACGGGTAATATATACTAATACGTAAAGAAGAAAAATTGATTGGGGTCATCTCTGGAACTACTTAATCGATTTGAGACTTTTTTGCTTTTAGAAAGCTTCACTATTTCAAAAAATTGTATTCAACATTTGATCTCAATAAGTGGCCATTAAATTTAGATTTTGAGCGGAGGGATGAATGTATTGATTTGGCGATGATGTGTGTGTGCGTTTTTTTTTATTATTATTTTTTGTGTCTGTGTACGTTATAAGTACCTAGTTGAAATAATGAGTCGATTTTCAACATCAGTATATTATCCAGTGGGAAAGTGAATCTAGTATATTTTCAAATGCACTTTAAAAAAAGAAAAATGAATTTAACTTACTGAAGCTCTATAAATCCTATTATATAGTAATATAGATTACTTTAACTACCTACAACAATATAATAAAATATAATTACTTAGTAATATTATAGGCTGACATACCGTCTTTTTCTTATGTTATGATTTTATATCATTGAATTTAAATTTAACACATCCACTACAGTGACTCCCTAGACACATAATGTACTGCAGTGCGTTACCCACTTACCTACCTTTTTTATTGCAAATTTAAGAATTTTTATAGAACATAGATAAATGATAATAATAATTTTTGCTATCAATCAAATTGAGTGTGACTACATATTATCTAGGCTTAGTAAAAATGGTATTCTTAACTCTATTTTTTTTATAATTTTGTTGTTGATTAAATATTTAAGTCATTTAAAATTTTTATAATTTTATTTTATTTATATTATACAGAAGTAATTATCAATTTTTTATTGGTTACCGATTTAAAAAATGTTTTCAATTGTACAAAGCTTAAAAAAAGAGATAAAATATAGTTATTTTGATTAAATATAATTTTTGACCTGTGTTTTGTATGACTGTGTTAAACATTTTTAAATGAGATTAAGATTGAGTAAATTCCCAGGAATTTGTCACGAGAAGTTTTGAACATCACTAAATGACGAATTGAACATAAATGTTGAATCATATCGAAATGGTATTTTTAACGAGCAACGAAGTGCAAGTGGCCAGATAGTGTATAAAGGTATACATTGTGATCCATTTAAGAGGGTGCACTAATTATCTCAAAAAATATAATTTTTTTTTTTAGTTTTTTTTTTAACTTTGAGATTTATGCTTTTCTAAATACCACTCACTCATCGCTATAAAACGTTTCTAGTTAAGATCGCTGTGAATTCTATAAAGTACATATGCAATTACCCAAATAAAGGATGTGACTAATTTTTCTTAAAAAAATTAGTGGGATGAAATATCTAAGTATGAAGCAGGGTGCAAAATTTTTAGTTCTGAAGTTGCTTGGAGAATCCTATCCATCCCAATGCATGAGAGATCCCTCCCTATATGATACATCTTTTTGCTCATCTCAAAAATGGCCAAGGAGCTTACTTTACAACTGATCAACACCTCAGAGAAAGCTCAGAACCCAACTAGAACTTCTATATTTTGACTATTTTAATTATTAGAATAAATGTCAACCGGATATTACATATTTAATAGATAAATATAAAAATATACATTGAAATACCAATATTTAAGTACACGTGTACCTCCAACATAGAATGAAACAAAACATTGTATGGCAAAATGTAAGGCTATATAGTTTATTGTGTAGTCACCTTTGGTTGGGCACTTTTCAATTACAGTAATTCAATTACTTCAGTAATTTGTAATTGGTAATTGATTATAAAATGTTGATGTAATTTGTAATTGATAATTAATTACATAATATTTGTGTAATTAGTAATTTATAATTACCAACAATTACTTTCTAGTATAAATTTAAAATTGAACTGGACAATTCAAAGTTTATGCTTCTATCAATTCTATCTACTGATAAATATAATGGTTAGTAATTTGTAGCGATACTGAAAGATTATTTTATTACAGATATTGCAATTTTTTAACGACAAAAATAAAAGTTTTACATGTTTAAACAATTATCTTGTTGTGAAACAATTATTTATTAATTATGATACTAATATTTGTTCGTCAGCACCGGTAGAAAGATTGTTTTCATTTGCTGGCTTCATAATGGCACCTACTTGTTCCCGGTTGTCTGATGAACAATTCGAAAAACTAGTATTTTTAAAAGGCAATCAAAATTACGGGATTATCTAATTTTTCTATGTACCCATATTTTTCTAATGTTTTTTTGAATTATTTTATGCACTTTTTTATATAAATAATTTTTAAAAGTAATTGGTAATTTTAAGTAATTGAATTATGTAATTTGTAATTTGTAATTAAATATTCTACAATCAAGTAATTAGTAATTTATAATTAAATACTGGTATTTTGAGTAATTTGTAATTTGTAATTAAATATTCTACAATCAAGTAATTAGTAATTTATAATTAAATACTGGTATTTTGAGTAATTTGTAATTTGTAATTAATTACTTTTTTTTTGATAATTTGCCCAACCCGGGTAGTCACAATACATTATTGTTTAAAATTAGATATTGAAACGTACAATAACGATTTATTGTCAACCAATTTTCGTTATTTATTATTTTTTTTTAATAAATATTAAACGACTTCAATTATGCGTTCAGTTATAATTGAATGATATGCGCTTTTATAATTAAATAGGTATTTAATTATCGAATACATTTTTGATGTGAAACTTCTTTATTCGTGGGTAGAACGTAAGTCGGATTCATGTGTTTAGTTGTTACAACCAAAAAGCGCTACATTAACATACTACTTAATACCTAGTTAATTGACGGTCGACACGAAAATTTCTATGGTAATAAATAATAATCCATTTGTCTTATCTCTGTGTAATAATAATAAATTAATTTCAATTGAAAATTGCATTTTTTATTTTTCCAATAAAAACTTAATATTTGACGACTATAATGGGCAATAACTTTTTTTCATACTTTCCGTAAAAAAGTTTCATTTCAACCGTGTTTAATATTGAAGCACTATTACCTTCGCATAGATGTAAGTGGACTTTCAAGGGGGGTAAGTTGAAATCCTGATAGTTTTTTATGGCGAAATAAGGTATGTTTATGGAGGACGGAGACTCTCTCTTGGTTATGACTATATTGAAAATATTTTGTGTTAGTTTATAGCTATTAAAATAGTAAAATACAATATATCAGAGGTATTTTTAAAATTGTACAAATAAAGTATAGGTAGTTAACAATATTATGCGATTGCGGCTGCACAAGTAAAGCAGGGGCATACGTGCCCTGGGGCGAGTACGACGGCGTACGTGGTACGTGTGTGCGGCCGACACGAAACCATAGATAATATAAGAATGGATAGGACATGTGTATAGTGGCTTCGCAAGAGGTTGCGGTCTTTTTTGGGGAAGAGAGAAAGTTCAATATCTACGAGAGAGATAGACTATAAGAGTTCTTTTTTGAGGTTAGGTTACAAAAATTGATAATTTAAGATTCTACTGTTATCTTTGATAAACATTTCAAATAACTGAAATAAGTAATAACAAACAATATATTTTACATTTTACAATTTACACTAAAATATAGATTTATATTGTTTGAAAATTGTATAATTCTTATTGGTATATAATATTAAGTATAAACTAATAACTTCTTCTCCTTTTCTAATATCTAACTGTAGCTTAAAAAAATTTGTGGTACCTAATCATTATATATTTTATAATATGGTTCGTCGGTGTGT